ATTCACTCAACTCACGATTCGATTCACGATTTTGATTTCACGATTCGATTCACGATTATTATTATTTATTTATTTTTACAAATTATAAATTAAATGTGTCCTTTTATTATTGCTTGGACAAAATGCTGCACATTTCTTTGTGAAATTGAAATAATAATATACTAATATAGCACTTGCATACTACTGCTCTTTTGTTGGTTTTGATTGCTTCTATCGTCCTCATTTGTAAGTCGCTTTGGATAAAAGTGTCAGCTAAATGACAACATTTAAATATAATGTAAATGTAAATAACAAAACTACATTGAAATAAGAAAAAAGCCCCAAATCAAATAAATAACACAAATAAAATACATATCTTCATATAAACAAACTAAGGCTTTGTCTTGTGCTCTTTCCATTTAAAATGAGGCAACCACTGCATTTTAATCTTGATCCAAACAAAGATGCTGCATACATGCAACACGAGCAGTTTTTAAACTAAATTAGATTGTATAATTTCGAAATTTGAAGCAAAAACAGAATGGTTTGACTTCAGTTTTGTGAAACTATGCATAAAAGTATCTGCATGAAACAAACAGCTGACCAGCTGAACGAGACGCAGATTCACTCTCTGCCAGTAGGTGGCGCTTAAAGCGTTTCCTGGTTTCCGCTGTAAACAAAGCAGCGCTGCACATATGAACTTTAACATGCCAAAAAAATACCATCTAAACTTTTCTAAAGACAGTAACTTCGCCTCAGACATGGATTCATATAAACTCCTACCTCTAAATGAATCGCAATTTGTTTAGCATCTCAACCGATTTGAATCGTCACATTTTTTCAATCAATTTTCAACCGGCTTGCAGTTAATCGTTACATCCCTACTGATGAGTGAATATTGTCAAAAAATACCACACTAAATAGTGACTAAACACGACCCCTTTTAATACATGTTAACCAGGAGTCACTCATTTATAATCACGGCATCGTCTGATAAAATCAACATGCATCTACACTAAAGAGCGGCTATGCGGTGGACCCCTTTCAAACAGTGTCGCGGTCCGAACGTTGTTTAAGCGACATACACCGGTATTACGGTATTTTAAAAATTCATATCATAACAAAAATAAAAACCGGTATCCGGTATGAACTGGTATACAACCCAGCACTAACATAAATACATACAATTATTGTATTTGACATTTCTGTCATTTCTGAAATGATGGCTATGCCCCTGGTGTGACAAAATGTTAGCCTACATATAATACTTTTAAAGCTCTTTTTTAAAATCTTGCCTACACATAAATTTCTACATATGCATGTCATGCCATAGCATCCTTAAACTAGCGTCTAACAATAGACAAACGTGTGTTTTTCTCTCTCTTAACTATGGTTCTGTAACCATAAAGTCCACCCAAAGATCCACAGCCCTATATATTAATAATTACAATTTATTTTAATTTTATATTAATTTATTACAAATATATATTTAACACAAGTACATACTGTTTTTATATAATCGTAATTATAAAAAAAATTCGTTTGACAGTTAACTAAAAAAAAATTATGTAACGTATAATATATAAATATTTGTTATATAAATATAATAGTATATATATATATATGTGTGTGTGTGTGTGTGTGTGTGTGTGATCGTAATTATAAAAAAAATTTGTTTGACAGTTAACTAAAAAAAAATTATGTAACGTATAATATATAAATATTTGTTATATAAATATAATAGTATATATATATATGTGTGTGTGTGTGTGTGTGTGTTTGTTGAAAATTCCCCAGCATCTCAGATTGACTGTGTCGCTGTCGCATATGATGCTATAAACTAAAGCAAACCATAAATCAAGGATGGAAGTGGCATTTTGATCTGTCTCAGATACATAATCAATTGTCTGAAGAGATGTGCAGTGCTGAATTACAGTCTAGGATGAGATGAGATGAGACGGACTTACCGACGGTGTACAAACTAGCGTCAGTGAGTTTGTTGATGGTGGCCTCCTGATAGATCCCATCTTGGTTCCTGGCTTCGACCACAGCACCCACCTAAAACACAGACACAGCTCTCATATTTACAGGGTTGCAGTGTGTTGCAGTGCTCCTGACCAGCTGGGACTGGATTACAAGCAGACTGGATTTATGTCTTTTCCCCATAATCCCTGCCATTACTCATGGAGGAACACCAGTGAGCGATTCTCATGAGCTTTACATTCATGGTAAAGTGAGGGTATCAGATGTTTCTAAATGATTAACACATTCATATAAAGACGAGAACCTGTCCAGGTCACACGTCACCAAATATCAAAATAAATAAATTAAAATGCATGAAGTAAGCTTATTTTAGCACTATTAAGATTTTTTTGTAACATTTTCTTGACAATTTATCTGATTAATATGCAAAAAAAAAAATATATATATATATATATATATATTGCACAAAGAAAGCAATCTTATTTTAGCACCATTAAAAATGTTGCCACATTTTCATGACAATAAATCTGATCATTATTATTACTGCAATGCAAAATGAATGAATAAGTAAAATATTATATACATTTCTATTGTATTTACATAACTGCTATATTGCCTTTAAATAAAATTTAAATAAATTCCAATTATTTACATTAAATCATTTTATTTAAAAAAATATTTAATACAATAAAAATACAGCACTGATTTATTATAAAACACTTGTTTTATAATTAGATTATTAATCTAATTAAAACACTATTAATAATAATCAAAAAAGAATTACCAAAGATAATTACAATGCAAAAATAAAATAAAATAAAATAAATATATACATATGTACATACATAAACATCCTAATTTGATCTTATCCTGATCTTTTCTTTATGCAAAATATAATTTCTTCCTTTTGATTCTGGGAGAAATGTGGACATGTTATGTTAAGATTCAGCCTTGACATATATTAACATATTAGCATAGTTTTACCAGTTTGCCAAAAAAAAATTTGGCATTTGATTTATTGCTTGTGTGCTCCAAGCGTAGCGAACCTGACATGTGACTAACCAATAAATAACTAGTTCTGTGCATTAGTCTAGTCTGAATCAGCCTCGTCCTCTCCAGACTTCTGCTTGTAAAGACACTCATGAGCATATCTGATATTTATTCTCTCTGAAACGAGTTACAAGTGCTCAAAGCAAACAGTTCTGCCAGACATCAGTGAGATGTTTTCTGATGAGCTGGTGGCAGGAGAACAATTACTGTCATATTCATAATCACAGCTACAGAAGCAGCGGCTGCTTTGCCAGGAGATGTTCAAACAAATGACTGAGCTAAAAAATAACAAATAAAAAACAAACAACATCAATATGAAACAGAGGATTCTCCGGATGACTGGCATCAGCGGCACCATCAAACGTCAACTCCAGAGTTTTCAATCAGTGTCATTGTGTTGCGTTTCTGAAGCTCGACGGATGTGATCACTGTCTGCTTTCATTGTATGCAAAAAGCAGCGAGATTCTTTAACCCTACGGTATCATATTTGATATGCAAGGCCTCCAAATGATAAACTTTGCTGTTAAACCTGTCGCACACAATCATGCCTTCTGTCGTCTGATTGATAGTTTAGAGTAAAATAATGTCCAGCTTCAGCTCGAGCTTCACGTGTCTTTCTGCTGTCAAATCTTCACTGATTTTTATCAAGTAAATGTAAGAATAACTGTAGTAATATTTCCAGATGAACACTTACTGGACTGAAGCAGCTTCACTTTACTTGATGATCCATGAATTATTTTAGAAAAATCAGCGTGTCTCAAATCTGATCATCAGCATCTTGAGGAGCAGGATCTCTCAATCATCATTGCATTGCATTATATGTTTGGATCATTTAAATCCAAGACATATTATTAGACTGATATTTAGATCATTTTATGTCAGTATCTGCTGTCTACTGTTAGAAAGATCTCATTGATTTACATTACAAGCTATCAGAATTTTTATTATATAAATATCAGCATCTGCAGAAAATGTTTGAGTCTCTGAGCTGTTTTTTCCTCCATATTCTCACTGTATCATACTATATGAGCCATAAAAGCCTGATGGATCAAATATGATAGTCAACAAAAAATACATATGCAAACCTTCCATAAAAAAATTTTTTTTTTAAATAAAATAAAAAAATAAACATTTTTTCAATAAATAGGTTTTTATAAGACTATTATTTCATATGTCAGGTTGAACAGTGTTAAAATATTTAATTTATTCCACATTCAATGGAGGAAAGAAAGTCAAAAAGGTTTAGGACAACATGAAGGCGAGTAATTATGATCACATTTAAATACGTTCTAAATGAATGTGAATTTGTTGCGTAAAGCAGGACTTTCACTTCCAACATGGACAAATTCTCGTCACGTCTCAACTAGTTAAAAGGAATAGTCCACCCAAAAATGAAGAATCCGAGATGCAGATGAGTTTGTCTCTTCATCAGATTTGGAGAAATGTAGCATTGCATCAGTGTCTCAGCAATAGATGCTCTGCAGTGAATGGGTGCCGTCAGAATGAGAGTCCAAACAGCTGATAAAAACATCACAATAATCCACAGCACTCCAGTCCATCAGTTAACATCGGGAGAAGACAAAAGCTGAAACAAATACAGCATTAAGAACTCAATTTCTCAATTTTGAACTCCAATATCAGTCCATAATCCATAACGCTTCCTCCAGTGAAAAAGTCCATCTCCTGTTGTCTCTCACATCAAAATCCAGTCACATATTTGTTCAGAGCTTTTTAAACGGTGCTTGATCTGTGCAGATTTCTCTCCTGATTCACACCAGACCACTTTTTCACTGGAGGAAGCATTATTATGGATTATGGACTCATATTTTAGTTAAAAACGTCTTAATGCTGGATTTCAGCTTTTGTCTTCTCCAGATGTTAACTGATGGACTGGAGTGCTGTGGATTACTTGTGGATTATTTTGCTCTCATTCTGACGGCACCCATTCACTGCAGATGCTTCATTGCTGAGCAAGTGATGCAATGCTACATTTCTCCAAATCTGATGAACAAACAAACTCATCTGCATCTCGGATGGTCTGAGGGTGAGCAAATTTTCAGCAAATTCTACTATTCCTTTAAGAAGCAGTGTTTATAAACCATATAACTGTGATCAAATATTAGGAAGCAGATTGGCTCTTACCTTCAGCAATCCTCTGATGTGTTCATCGTGCACCACCGCAGTGGACGAGCTGGGTTTGAAGGTGACCTGGAAAGAGCCACACACATTCAGTGAGGATAGTAAACACAGAAGGGCTTTCCTAAAGGCCAAGATGCATCGATCGCTCATATCAGGCAGCTCATATCCCCACCAGAGAGAGCCGAACGTGTGCTATCAAACCTAACGCAGTGAAGACACACTGTGTCACTGAATCACTGCGCGCCACAGAACAGAAGATAACTACACAGAAAGTGGGGCGGACAAAACATGCTGTGCAAGAGGATGGGATAAAAATGGAGGAACAAATTGTACTTTTTGCATTATGTTAATTTTTACTGCGAATAATGCGCTGTCACTTTAATTCAGTGCGTGCAGCACAGCAGAAATAGACTCCGTGCGGAAACGATCGCAGCATGACTGCAGCAGACGCACCGCAATCGCGTGCAGTGTGAACGCTCTGATCCGTTAACATGGGCGCGGAAAAAATACGCACCACAGAAGGAGTGTGTGAACCTGGCGTTACGTTTGTATGCCCGCCCGGTCTGTTCTGTTCTCGTGCTCCATTTAAGCGCACTGCATTCTGATCGGATAGCATACTGCGGGAGGTCGGGGGCGCGGAAAATCGTGCTATAAAGCGATTTAGAAATCCCGCTAGCTCGAATCGCGATTTTATGACGATTTCGATTAATCGCACAGCCCTATTTGTGAATAAACATACATAATGCATTCGCTAGCAACGCCAAGGTTCGATTCCCAGGAAATGCATGAACTGAAAAGTGCATAACCCAAATGTAACGTAAGTCACTTTGATTAAAACAAATGTAATAGAAATGTACAAATGTATTAAAATGCATAAATGTAAAACTTTATAGTTAAAGTAATCAAATTGTGCCAATGTACGCAAGTAGAATATATTTTTCTAAATTCACTATTCACCATTCACATAAAATGTCCAGTATTGTTCTGAGATAATCCCATAAAAAGAAATATTAACAAAATTTAAATACATTGATATAATATACATAAATGTACTAATAATATGAGAAAGTCCATAGTCCATTAACTCTGTGAAGTCCATTATTTCTCACACTGTTTTATAGCCACACATGCCTTTCTCCAGCTCAGCAGAGATAATAAGTCTCACACTTCAGCATCTCACGGCAGTCGCGTCTGATGAAGCTCTGATCGCTCCACAGCAGGTCACACGCGGCCAACACTGATGAAAAAACCTCCAATTACAGTCACTGTCTGGAGGAGTCCGCACAGAGAAAACCAGCCAACTTTAACTTCAAACATCACCAGATTAAAAGACTAAATAACTGATGTGATGTTAGTGGAGCCAAAACAACGCGTCTTTATTTGTGAAGTAAATAAACACACACACACACACATTTATTTATTTATGTTTGAATAAAACATTTTTTTAAAGTTAATTACAGAAGTTATCGTTTTTATTTACTGGCAAGTTAAGCAAAGGATCATTCAACTTATCAGAAAATTGAAAAATCTAAATTAATTGTCTAATTATTGAGGAAATTATATATTATTATTTATATAAAATTTCTATTAAATTATTATATAGTATTATTTAACTAAAATTAAGAAACACTATGTATATGTATGTAGATAGACAGATATGTATACACACACAATTTATTATCCCTATTTTTTTTAACCATCCATCCATCCATCCATCTATCTATCTATCCATCTATCCATCCATCTATCCATCTATCTCATGACCAATGCGGACACTGATTATTTTAAACACTGCAGATTAGTTCAAATGTCTGCTACCCGATATGTTCATCTGATTTCAGATTTTATTTCTGCTTTTTGACAGTGATAAACTTAATCCTTAGACTACATCAACTTTAGCATAATACGCATTATGAATTTTTTTTTAAATATGTAAATAAAAATAATAATACAATATTAAATCTACATATAAAATAAAATATAACGAAAATAATGCAATGAAATAGTAATAAAACATTTTTAATTAAAATTAAATACTAATAAAAAAATTAAAACCTTAAGGTCAGACAGCTAAATAACATTATCTTGATGAGATATTTATATCAATAGAATCTGTAAAACATCACATTTCCATCACGTTTTGCATTTGGCAGGCACTTCTATCTAAAACTATTTGCATATAAATCAAGGTATATATTTAATCAATTTGTGCATTTCCTGGGAATCAAAATAACCCATGACCTTGATGTTGCTAGTGTTCTACTCTTTTGAGCTACAGAAACACAGAAAACCAAATATTGAAGTCTGAAAGACATAAAAACACATGCACTTGATCAATGAATAAGACTGTAGGAACATAATACAAAAACATGATGAGCTCCAATGCTCTGCTCTTATTTAAAGAGTGAATGTGCCGTCTAAAGACTACTCTTTGACTAATGCATGAACACAGCTTCAGAGAGAGAGAGAGAGAGAGAGAGAGAGAGAGAGAGAGAGAGAGAGAGATGTTAGTAAAGCCACATCTCAAGCATAGACTTGTGTTGAAAAAGCTGATTTCCTTAAAAACATCAAATGCAATGGCGTCATCAGTAGTACAACGGCAGGAATATGATTACAACCTTGAACAAGGTCTCTGGTTTGCGTGCAGGCCGCTAATCACATTTCAGGACTATGAGAGAGGAATTATAAAATATCAGAGAGCCATCAGGAGAAAAACATGAGACAGACTGACTAGAACAGACAGAGAGGACGCTTGAGAGGAAAATATTTCATTGGGAATGAGGGCGACTCCTCGGAAGAGACAGCAATGAAAACACATTCATTACAGGACTCCATTTGCTCTCCAACTTCAAACATTTCAACATTGATAATCGTCAGAAATGTTTGTTATGCAGTAAATCAGAATATTATACTGATTTCTGAAGATCATGTGACACTGAAGACTGGAGTAATGATGCTGAAAATCCAGCTTTGATCACAGGAATAAATTATATTATCACATAGAAAACAACGGTTTTAAAATGTAATAATATTTCAAATTTTTACTGTATTTTTGAGCAAATAAATGCAGCCTTGGTGAGCAGAAAAGACATATATACATATTTAGAAACATCAGACTGACATTATTTACTTTCAGAAGTAGAGATGAACAATACATCAACAAACAAACAAAATAAAGACCTCTCTTTTAATTTTTATTTCCCATATTCATTTTTTGACACCTCAAACGTGCATAAAAGTCTTCTCTAATCACTGACCATCCATACATTCAAAACATGTCTTTAAATGTCTTCAAATGATCCCAAACAGCAGAAATAACGTCCCGTTTGTGACTCACCTTTGCTTTGACGAGTCTCTTGGCGGTCTTGATCTTGGCCTCACAGAACGCCCCTCTGTATTTGGCACTCACGTCAGTGCCAACGGTCAGGTAAGGGGGCTCCTCCAGTGTCTGAGCAACGACAAACACAGAACAGATGCATGAATTTCACTGTCGATTAATGATAATGTGGCATAAGTGAGGAAAAAGCTATGTCCATTTGTTTAAAGCACGGAAAGCCTGAGAAATGCTGAGAAATGAGTGTTCGCGATGCTAAAAAGCACAGTTAAATCACCCTCGTCCCGAGAGAAAAAACGCTGCACGACTCACTTTACATAATACAACAACGTGTGCTGAAAACCGAACATTATGTACGCATACCGCTGTAAACCTCTTTAACATTGAAATGCTTCAAGGAAATAAAACGATTACAACAAGTAACGTGAGACAGGTAAGAAAAATGAAGCCATATGCAAGTACTGAGGGTGTAATGATGTAGCAACTTCAGAATATGGAATATGGAAACTGTTTGACATTAAAATGCATCACGAGGCATCTGATTACAGTTATGGAAAGAACTTGACGAAAGAACAAAATAATTCTGAAGAAAACAAGGAAGGTGTTTGCCACAATATGAATTTTAATACAGCAGCAATAAGCGATTATCCTACTAAACACTCCTTTAATTGTTCCATTAAAACAATGGCATGAAAAAATAAATGAAAATAGCAAGCAACTGAATAAACATAAACGAGAAGTTAAAACTAAACTGCGCCCCTAGTGGCTTGGGCCCTAATAAAGAAACAAATTACAAGCAATAAAACAAACATAAACAGCTAATTAAAGCAAATTAGCTGTTTTTCAAGTATCTAACTATCAATTCAGATATTCCAGTGAACATTCACAAAATAAAACACAAAGTGATGTAATATAAAACACATTTTTGCATTATATTGAAATGTATGAAATTGGTGAATAAGTGTTATTTTAGTATCACTGAGAGAGTATTATAGTTTTTATTAATAGTTTTATTAATCAGTTTGTATTTTCATTTTTGTTTAGTTAAAGTCTTAGTAATTTTTTGTGTGTTTTTGTGATTTTAAATAGTTTTAGTTTTTTATTATATGTCCAAATATTTTTTTTTCAGTTTTTTAATAAATCAAGTTAAACAAGAAATGTCTCCTTGGCAATTAGCTGGGGGAAAAAATACACATTTTTATTTCAGTTAATGTTTTTTTTTTTTAGTTATGAAAAAAAAGAAATTTACAAGCATAGATAAAATAAACAGTAGTATTCAGATACATAAATGTAATAATTAAGTGTAAAATAACACTGCATAGTGTATGAATTAAATTTTGATTAATCGTCGTTTTGTTGTTTTGTTAACATTAGTGACATATTCAGCAGCACGTATTTATAGGCTGCTGTCTCTTTAAATCCGACTGCACGGATCCAGTATAATGATACACATCCGACTGCGTTTACGAGAATGATCGTTGAGACGGGTACTATTGACATAATTCTGTGTGTATGTGTTCTGTTCAAACATAAGGAGGAGATGCGAAAGACGGTCTGAAACGAGTCTCTCTCACGTGTTCAAAAATAAGGAGGAGATGCGAAAGACGGTCTGAAACGAGTCTCTCTCACGTGTGCGGCAGAACTGAAGAGAAGCTGTGCGAGATGCGGCTTGTGCGCGCGCTTCAGGTGTGAGTCAGACCGTAAGACGAGACGGCAACTTATTGCACTTAACCCTTTTTAACGTCAAGCAATTCTCTGCTGTATGCGTCGAACAGAATCTTTGACCTTTTGCAACGTTTTGATTTAAGTAGCCTATTATTAAAATTATAATGATATCGCACGCCGTTGCGATATGCATATTGCGATATTTACATTTGCGATATTTCGATAATTTCGATATATCGTGCAGCCCTATTAGAAACTAAGTCTCAGATCTTAAATTCCATTTTATTACAATATTCAAACAAATACCATTTTGGCGCTGTTTTAACTTACGTTTCCAACTTACTGAAATCCGTATCCTGTCTCAGGTAATCGCTCAATCAGTGTTTCAACCACCGAAAGACGTCAATATAACAGCTTGTAAACAAAACGTCACGTAACATCATGTTTACCTCAGAAAAAAAAATTCGGTGACAATGAACTTGTTAGTTAGCTAGAAAAATGAACTCTAGAGAGGAGCATTCATATGTCGATTACATTGTTCGTACAATCATTCATTAAAGAAATGTTAATCAAAGAACAAAAGACAAAGAAAACCACTTTCTGCTCTCGACTGAATACGTTTTATAACTTTAATGGTAAGCATTAATCTGCATTTAATTTTTACAATGAAGACTACAGAAATTAAAGTAATCAAATGTAAAATAACACTGGATGTATTTCTTAACTGAATAAAAACTTACTTAACCTGAAAAACTTAGTTTCATAGCTCTCTTTATTCTATTGCATTTATTTGTGCTGTTGCTTGCTAATTTTTTTTATTTGTTCTTATTTTATTACTGACTTTTTACTTGTGTTTCTTTTATGAAAATAAAACTTTGCATTGAAGAAAAGTCGATTTTTGTTTGTATATGCTGTCAATTATAGTTCTTAAAAAGAAAATCGGTATCGGCAGATCACACTAACAAAAAATCGGAAATCGGAATCGGCCAAGAAAATTGCAATCGGTGCATCTCTAGTTTAATCTATCTAATATTGTGTTGATCATACTACACAGTGATTAATAGCTTGTCTTTGTTGAATAATACAGAACATAAACAGCTTTAAAAAATAATTGCATATTAAATCGCAATCGCAATATTGGTAAAAACAAAAAACAAACAAAATCGCAATTAGATTCTTTTTTTAAATTGTTCAGCCCTACCCTATGCCATTGCTGAAAAACTGGTATGCATGGAGAATTGCTTTGCAATCGTGAGGTGCTTCGACGTGTTACTAACTGTGAACAAATACTCAGTCTTTTCATGCATTAATGCAATACAACGGTTGCACTAACCTTCAGCAGAGAACGTGAAGAGTGAGAACAGAAATCCCATCATACTAGCTCTAAAGCGTCAGTACATTCAAGCCAGCTGCTCCATTTAAATTCCTAGCTTAAACAAACCCATGACAAACCACTGACTGCCAGATGACAAGAGTCTTAAACCACAGAAGAGCTGATGATCGCATGACGAACACCATGATAACATGTGCTTTCTGCTGTTTAACCGCCATCAGTAAAACACGCAGTCAAGCGCACCTGCACTAAATGCTCTGGAATGACCGCAGAAGAAAAGACAGGAAAACCAAAATTGACATCAAGCGTTTCTACTAACGCCAGTCGTTACATCACGTCAACAAAAAGGTTTCTTTAACATAAAATTTGCCAAATAAACACATAATGGACAGGTCTGATTCACACAGTCATCTAAAACAAGAGAAACTTCATTGAATGCGGATTACAACTGATAACAGAGCTGTGATTTAGTAATCGTTAGCACTACAATGAACTTAATACACAAATGAATACAGTCATTTGTGTACAGTACTGCTGTATAATTTCTGCAAAATTCAGTGCAAAACCATTTAAACACACAGAAATTCCATTGCCTTTCAATTAAATAAATATACTTGAATATAAATAAAAAAAATAATTTGACTTTAATTTAATTATTCATAAAAATTGAATAATATAAAGTAGTAGCAATAAGACAGACAGACAGACAGACAGATAGACAGATAGTACATTGGCATTTGAACAACCAGTCAGTGAAGACACTGATGCGCAGATCAATAAGTGAGTCAGATTAATTCAATAACTGTTCTGATTAGGGATGCTCCAATCAGGATTTTTGCAGCCGATACTGAGTACCGATTTCTTGTCATGGTGATCGGCCGATACTGAAGCCTATTCTGATGCTTCAAGCTTTATATAACTTCCGGTCTGTGTTTGTTTATCAGTCTGGCTATGGCGCCGGCTGCAAACACAGTTAAAGTTAAGGTGATGAGTAGACTGAAGTTGGGCTCAGGTGGTTGTGCTGTGGGATGTGTTTCCCATACATTTGTTTATTTGTGGCGCTTGCCACAATATCAAAACTGACCGATTTTCCAAAAGGCTTCGTTGAATAAACATGAGCACGTACTGCATGTTTAAAAATCAAACGGACGTTTTGCTGAACGTTCTAGTCGGCGGAGCTACTTAAGCACTAGATTTAACAACTTTCAGACCCCTTTAGTGGCTTTTTTCCATAGAATATTCATACTAACAAACCTAGCAACTTTTTTGGATAAACCTTAGCTATGGTTAGCTATGGTTCAGTTGGAAGATTTCGCCAGTGCTGTCGCGCGAGCACGAGGTCTGACTTTCCCGGAGAAGTGTCGCCTCTCTCGCCGTCTGTTGTGTGCAGTGAGCGGCAGAGAAGCACCGCAGCCGACTCCTCAATAAATGAGTACAAAACAGCGTTTCCTAGCACCTGTCGCTTACTGATGACAATATTCACTCATCATGACAGTAAAATAGGGCATTCTAAGTCAATATACTGCAGTATTTCCTCTCTCAATCAGTAGAAAATATGCTTAACACTCGGTCATGCATGAAAAAAATAAATACCGTCATGTACCGTGAAACCGGTATAATTTTGAAAAATACCGTGATATACATTTTTGGTCATACCGCCCAGCACTAGTCGTGGGTGGATAAAATAAATTATAAATGATACAAATACTAACAAAAAAAATTTTCATGAGGCAGACGATTTTGCACACACTTATGTGTGTTCGTTCGCCTGATCGGGAAGTGGCAGTGACAGAAACGGTGACATTCCAGATAAAGTTTGAAAGGAGTAAAGCCTGTGTTAATGCTATTGAGTAGGCTAATATGGCCAAAGAAGATATTTTGTTTTATAAATAAACGTTCATTTAAAAGCAACCCATGATCAGTGATACGGCTCAGACAAGGTTTTGTTCCGTCCTCCATGCTGTGCCAACTCACTAAAGAGAGAAACATGCCGCAGCTGCAGTATAAACACAAGCACTGACTAGAGCGGCCGCAATCAGCTCCGGTTCCCGTGGAGACGTAATGCGCCGCAGACATGTGCAGTGAGGCGCAGATCAGCTCTAACGACAAATAGCTA